TGGCACAGTACTGCTCGTGCCAGATTGGAACAGTTACCCTATGGGTATCTCAGTTGTGTGTAGATGCTATTTAAACATCAGTTTTTAGATATTCTTTACAATCATCTGTGCTTAGCACAGATGACAATACAATATCAGACATGGGATAGATTCTGCAACCCTGCTCCAGTTATATTACATGATTGAGAGTGCTTGAAATTAATCTGAGAACAAAGTAGGAAAGCAGAAGGAAAAGAGAGAAGCTGAAACATTATTAAAGATGTTCAAAAAGTAGGACTGATATATCCCAATTAAAGTGCTCATATAAACGACAACACCAAAAGTAAGTCATCCTTATTGAGGGGGATCAGGCTTGCTGGACTAATAGTTAAGTGTCTGCATTCCACATCAGGATGACAGTGGATTAATCAAAATTGCCCCTGGGAAATTGGGATATTTGAATGGTATGATATAATTCAATCAAGTCAGCTCCCAACTAGAGAAGTTAATGACATCCATGAATGGTTTACCTCCTCAATGAATACTTCCAACATCAGATATTTGGTAGTCCATTGTATTACAGTGCATATAAGAATGCAGTAGTGTAAAAAATTACTGATTGATTTTCATTCTGGAGGAAGCCATGCCTTTGTTAAGATAGTGTGTGAAAAGGGCATAGAGAATGTCTGCATCTTCTGATATGCTCTTTGGAGTAAAACCAAAAGTATTTGTCACAACAGTAATTAAAGAAAGGGACAATCATTAACTAAATGTGCATTTCTTAAGTCTGCAGGCCAGTGTGCATGGACAAATGATTTATTGATTGTGTTGCAAAGTAACCTAATATCAAAACGACCTTGAACTTTTTTTAAAAAATGTACAGAACATGGACCTTGAATAATGGACGATCTAATTTGCTCTTGAATTGGTTTACAATTGTAGCTTGTTGTTAATGTAACGTGTGTACAATGAAATAAACTTTCCTTTTATTTTGAATTTGGGATCTGATTGCTAAATGGGATTTGTATAGAATTTGTCTTCTCTTGTAATCATATATAGGTAGTCAGCAAGTTACGAACAAGATGGTTTCTGTAAGTTTGTTCTTGTAGAATTTGTTTGTAAGTTGGAACAGATACATTTTAAGTATACTTCCAGCCCTGATAGATAGATAGATGATAGATGATAGATAGATAGATAGATAGATAGATAGATAGATAGAGAGAGAGATAGATCACTTTGGATAGCATAGGAAGGGGTAAACAGTATCCCTGTTCAGAAGATTTCACCTAATTTTCTGTTCCTGTGATAATTGGATTTTGAAAAAAATGGACTTGTTGGGAAAACAAGGAATGGAGATAAAGCTTCAGTGGAGATACTTTTTCTCAATGAAAACCCTTTTAAGAGTGAATTTCCCTTCCTAGGGGTAGATTTCTCTCGCTTCCTGTTGTCTCACCCCTGTTCTTAATTATGAGTAATTTGTAAGTCAGGGACTGCCTGTTTTCCAGAAGCACGTGCACAGGGAAAATGAGGATTTATTGTATTTTGTAGACTGCCTATACTGAAGAATCACAATGTGGGTTCCTGGAATCTCTTTAAAGCAATTCAAAGTTTTATTGATATATTCTTATTCAAAAGCATTCATGTTCATTATATTTCTGACCAGTTACAATTCATTGTAAGATCAACCCAATATATTGAGAAATGAAATTGACATTGCTATGTAAAATGCAGCATCTAAATAGTAATGAGTATGTCAGGATGAAAATAGAAGAAACACATTATATTAATGTTCTGTTTCCTGGGTTGACTTGAGAGGAATATATATATATAAATCTGTCTAAAAAACTCTATGATAGCCACCATAAATTGGATTTGACTTGAAGGCTCATAACTATCCCAGCATCCCATACTTAATTCAAATGTTTGAGATTTGCTATATCTGATAGGAAAATGGGATATGGACTGTTACAGAGAAGTTTGACAACTGGGGTTATAGTGTTGTGTAGTGCATCATTAGTAAATCTAATGATGGACAAGATAGTGCCCTTTCTCAAACTACCTGCCAGACAGTAGGAATATAAAGAATACCTGAACATGTTCTTGTCCCCATTGAAAAAGGTTGTCTTGACACTCTTATCCAGTCTTGACCCACTGCAAATTTATTTGTATGTTAGGACTTCTTAATGAAAATTTCCTTTGTTCAAAAACACTGTACAATGCTGTGGAAATTACAAAGTCTTAGGAATTACAGTTGAGGTAATCTCAGTAAATTACAAAATGATTTGCTTTTATGTGAGGATTAACAGTAATGTTGTTAGATCAACAGATCCTACGTGCTCTAAAAGTTAGGGAGAGGTGCAGAGGCTTTTGAAATGTTGCATTAAATACTGGAATGGCTGCATATAACAGGAAAATCCAGGTTAAAAGCTTTGTGTAATATATTTGCTTTGATCATGCTAATGACCATTTTCTAACTTGTACAACACCTAATATGACAGACTTGAAACAAAGGAAGGTTCTTGGCTCTGAGAGACTGAATATTCTGTGACAAAAACGATCAGGTACAGTATTTTATACAACTACTATTAAAAGAAAAGGACAACTGCTTCAAGCTATTTAACTTCATGTCCTCTGTTTCTTCAGAGCATTCCTAATTTTTTTAAAAAAATCTGTTATTGTGTCTGGGATGTTTTGATAACTGCAACCTGAATTGCTCCAGGGATGTTTAGCAGTGTATGTAATATTTACAGAGGAAAACTGCAAATATTTACCATATATTTAGATCGGTAACGTCTGATATGGATTTGCATGTCATAAAAAATTCTGTCCGAGCCAGGAGGTCATTAATTAGAAGTCTCATTCATTTACTATTAATTTATTTAACTTATATACCTCTTTTCTCTCAGAGCAAAAACAACAGAGCCTATAACAAAAATTAAAACAAAGCGCAGTTAAAATCTTAATAATAATTAAAAAAGAAAAAGAAAAAGGGCATAATGTTAAAACTATTTAAACCACATTTTAAACATGCTAATAAAGATAAACACTCATCATTAAAACACCCTTCTGTCAATCTGATGGAGATATCAGTCATCAATGCCCCAATTGCCTGTAGAGATAGAATTACAGTTGTGGGCAACAGTGTCACAATTGTAGTGAAGAACTTCATCAGATGGGGAGGAGGGAAGTGGGGGAAAGCAATCGGGAAGAGTGGGAAAACCACCTTAACCCCGTTCTCCCTCAACAGAACTTTGGGGATGGCCAACCATCCCACAAACTTTCCCCATCTTCTTTCCATTTTCCTTCACTTCCTCCACTTTCTGGAAGCAGGAATATGGTAACAGGGAGTCTTCTCTCCATCTTCACATACTGGAAATACAAGTTCCCATGGGCAGCCATGGGAAGTGGCCCTGCATCATGGGATGACACACTGTTTTGCCAGAGTGTGAAAAGGGAGAGAAACGGGGGAAACATCCATGTGATGAGGTCCCTAAGTATAAATTGTGACTATGGATCAACCTTGGATGAATAAATCTAGGTAACTGTTGTTTTGTTTTCATGATTGCAACTTTGTCATGATTGTGACACTTTTGCCTCAGTTGTAATTCCCCACAACGTACTTGACTGGATATCAACTGAACAGGGAGAAGGAGGTCCATTTTGCTGGTGACTGGAGCACAGATGATTGATAATTCCATCAGGTTTGGGAAGTCAGTCCAGGATTAGCTAATGTAGAATATTAGTCTTAACATTTTCCTGCTGATGGAAAGAAACCAGAAAGGAGGCCAACTTATTCTCCTAGGATAGCAAGTTCCACAGGCTTGGAGCAGACACTGAGAATGGTATCCTTAAAAGGACTTTGCAGAGGTGGTGGGACAAAGAGTTGAGCCTTCTCTAAGGTGCTTAAAATTTTTCAAGTATGTAGAAACATAGGTTTTTAGATACTTAACCAAACCATGTATTGTTTTAATATAATGTCTGCTTGTTAAATCTGTGGTTATGCTTAGACTTCTATGGAATTTCATGGCATCTCCTATTATTCTGCAGAATACAGAAAAGGTGAATATTAGAATATGCTTAAAATATGGGAAAATGATATATTTCGGCCATCTGTTATATTTATATGGCTGTTAATACCCAGATCCCCATAAAAAATGTTTAGGACATTATTTGATGCTTCATTCTGTGTTTATGGATATCAAATAGTCAGTGTTTAACTGTGTTTCCCTTTTCTACGCTTGTTTATTGCTGCCCATAAAATGTAATGTTATGCTAATTATGTCCCCTTTTTGTAGCTTCATAACTACTGATAAAATATAGTATGCTTGAGTAAGTGTCATCTGTCTACATACAACATCATGCTGGCGGCTGACCAGTACAATAGTATACATATACTGTTTTGAATTTGTTAAGTGGGACATACTAAAATTAATGGGACTTGTTAGTCATCACTTGTATAACACCCACTGATTTAAATAGGCCAGTACTATTTTGGATGGAAATTGATAATCTAAATGAGTCTTTTTTCTGAAACACAATTTAGGGATTTGTTTTTTAAAAAACTAGAAACCCTCTCATCCTCAGTGTTAAAGTATAGTCTCAGCATGCTGCTTAGCTACCCATTTAAAAACTGAACTGCAACAAAATATTTTTATCAGTGAGAATGAAAAGACAATTCTCTCCTCCCTCCACTTTTTAATTTCCTTGCATTTTGTATGAAATGTTATCAACTGCCCCGATACATATGTCTTTCCTCAATAAATACAATATTTTGCACACATACAAATATGGTTGACATTCTGTATTGTTGTGAATTGGTAACTTAGAGTAAAAGATTTGTAACTGTTTTGTATTCATTTTGACAATATGAGTGTCTTCCTGGACAACTTCATCAGCCAGCATCCATATCGGGTAAAAGACGTCTGTTCAGCTGGCAATTGGGGCTCAAGGGCCACTATTTGTGGGGCTGAAATAGGGTTTACATCTTGCACTGCTAATTCTAAATTTGTATTTGTCTTTAGAACTATAGGCTACAAAAAGAAGTATGTGAAAGTTCCACATGGCCATATATGGGTAGAAGGGGACCATCATGGACATAGCTTTGACAGCAATGCCTTTGGCCCGGTAAGTCACAATAATTCTCATAATAATTTTATAGATAATAATAATAATTTAATAGGAATGCATATTTTGTTCCTATAAGATTATTTTTGAAGGGGGAAAATTCAGTGGATGCACCTTTTCTCATTAAACCTTTTTTTTAAAGGAAGATAGAGATGGGAGGAAAACTCTTCTCCTGTTTCACCTTTGCTATGCATACATACTGATCTAAATAGCTCAGTGGTAAGTCCCCCACAGAGTTCAATGGGACATAATCATCAGAAATATTGTATGGGATTGCATTCTTAAACAGACAAACATCTTTCTCTTACACTGGTACACCTGGAAGAGCAAGAGCTTACTGTGTTTGCAACAGATGCTTGGAAATGCTCTAATTCATGTTGAAAAGCACGAGCTTTTCTAAACATTCTGCAGTAATTGTTGCCTTAGGTAGTTAATGACCTTGAATTCTGTTACTATGGCTTGACTTTTTTTAGTGTCAGAGATGTACAAGAGCCATGTAGGACAGAGAAAAGCCTAGAAGTTTCTTTTAAAAATGAAGGCAGGCTTATCTGTGATGAGAGATTGCCAATGACTACTGTGAGTGAGAAGCATTGCAAAGTGGTGGAGAAGGGGAGGGGTGTATACTGTAGCTATGGTAGTTCATGGAAGCCTTTTGAAGAAGTGTAGATCTTGAGGAGAAACTTGCAAGGAAAGAGTAATATAAGTGGTGAAATTATGGTTTGAAAATTACATTGGGCCATTGGTATCCTCAGGGTTTGGTCCCAGGACAAATCTCACTAGTGCAGTAAAATGGTCCTCTTTATATAAAAGAGCAAGAGCAAGATTTGCTTTCTAGAATTTTTAAAAATGTTTTCAAGATGTGATGGTTGGATCCATGGATACGGAATCCATGGATAATGAGGGCTGGCTACACATCACTGTGTGATTGCAAAAGAAAGTCAGGAAAATTAGCATGGATGGGTAGGATGATAGTTACTGGGGCTCAAAATGACAGAAGCCATGGAGGAAGAAATGGAAAAATAAGAGAAAATTGAAGAGAGAGAATTTTTACAATAAAGGAGAAGAGATATTAAGAAGAATCAGAGGGAAAATGTAGAGCTCATTCATATATGCATAGGCATTACTCAATTGGTTATAACCGAATGTGAGATCTTTCTCTATTAAAGTCTTCCTGCGTTTGATGTTGTACAGTATGACAGTTCTGTCCACAGTGTTCCTTCAGCAATGAATGTTTCATATTACTCAGCTCATCAGTACATATTGGCAGAACATATTGGTGAACTAGGGTGAAAGAAGGATGTCATTACCGTAGTTGTGGGAAGGAAGCCTCTAAACATAAAAAGCATTTGTTTTGCATTTTTGTGTCTCCCTGTTTCAAGCATGATCTCAGATAATTCAGTTTAGATACGAACAATTGAAAATTAATGTGCAGCAGAAACAATTAGCAAAGAGTACTGTAGGTGTATTGTCAGTTCATAAACATTGTATTTCCATAGATTGTTTAAGCATATTTTATTTATGAACTTCCTAGAGTTCTGTATATATCATAAATATAGAATAACTGCTTGGAATGTTTGGCTTAGTAATAAAGCTGTAACATGATTTTAGTTGGACTGCCACCTAATTCTGTATTTTCAACTCCTTCAAACAAGTAATTGGGATACCTGATTCATCCTGTCTGTCAGCATTATATAGCACAGTTAAAAAAAATATTTTCTTGAGTAGTAAACAGTGTCAGAAGTACAGTTCTGGTAACAACCATTCCTGGCAAATGGGTATCAGGTGCTTTTATGGACATTTGAAGCAGAATGCATGCCTGCATGTTAATGCCCTAATCTTTGAATTCTGCATCAGTTGTAGTACTCTGCCTGCTCCCATTGTTAGAGGTCAGACAGCTGGTGCCTGGAAAAAGAACCTTTTGCTACTTCAGCTGTGAGACTTTCACCTAGACAGTTGCATGAGATGTCCTCGAGGCATCGGGTTAAGACTTTAGTAATCTGTGTCTTTGCTACATCTGCATGCTTTTAAAAATTTGATTTACTTCGATTTTATTATTGGTTTTTTCCCCATTGCTCATTTTGGCTTTGCTTTTAAAATGTAGTTTAATATATTTGAATCTATGAGCAGGCTTTCCTTTTAAATGATATTTTAGAAATAGCTTCTATTTAGGAAAGAGCATACAAGTATATTTTCTACATGATCTTCTTCCGTTTTTCTTTTGCATGGAAATGGGCAGAGTTTGAATGTATAGCAGGGAAGGTGAGTGGTAGGAATGGGGCTATGACCTGTAATAACCTAATTTTGTTGGCAAGGTAGAATTAACAATTGTAGAAATCAATGTACATTGTGTGTAGAGTAGTTTGTGGTATTGGCAATAACATTGCACAGCAGGATGTATATCTACTAGTAGATGAAGGTTGTGAAATTTTACTCTCCACTTTATAATATCATTTTCTCATATAAGTTTCAACAGACAAGCAAAATGAAAGGGCAACACGGTGGCAGAAATGAATCCCATCCCAATGTCCTACTTTTCTTATCACAAAGGTCATCCTGAAGTATAAAAAGCTATCTGTGTCAAAAGTCTAATTTTAGTACAGCAGTATGTTTTCCTATGAAGAAATGTTAATTTCTTGTTATATGTTAAACCTATAACCAACTGAACGTATTCTACTTTCCATTTCAGCCAAATTGCTTCCTTGCTGCTTTCTCACCCAATTATTTTGGTTGATGAACACAATAGGCTTTATAGGATATAATCTGAAATGATGATTACAACCAAAAGAAGAGCAGATTTGGGTTTTTTTCTCTCCTGTAGTACAATATAGATTTCCAGTGTTAAATACTGTAAAGTTAGCCCTTCACATTTGTGGGTTTTGCTATTGTGGATTTGATCAATATGTTCTCTTGGGGAATTTATAGGTCTCCCAGAATTATTCTATTGCAGTGGTTCTCAACCTAGGGTCCCCAGATGGTTTTGGCCTACAACTCCCAGAAATCCCAGTCAGTTTATCAGCTGTTAGGATTTCTGGGAGTTGAAGACCAAAAGCATCTGGGTATTCCAGGTTGAGAACTACTGTTCTATTGAAAGTTGACCATGGAGTCATGCTGGAGGACCCAGAGATTCCTAGGAAGTTGTTCTCTTTAATAAAAAATTAAGTGTTTCGTTATGAACGTTTTTTCCACTTTCACAGTGTTCTGTGCTCCAAACTCTGGTGAAAGTAAAGGGATGACTGTATTCCTTCATCTGCATTTTAGACAGTTAGAATGTCCAAATCTTAGACAGTTGAAAGAGGTGTGAACCACATAGAGTGATACTATCAGAGGGGGCATCAAAATGACTGTCAACACAATTTTTCTGCAGTGTTACAGCAGAAATTTGTTATTTTTATATAAAACTTCCCCTAAATAACCACAAAAGCATTTTTCATAAACCCAGCTTACATATACTAAAACTCCATACTAATTTACTGTTTGCACATAGACTAAAATTCTATGCTAATTTACTCTTTGAACTTTCTAACGTGCATGTTTTCTGGTCAGAGCTGTTTTCCAATTACAATTAACTTTTGAATCATATGGTTTTATCTACACACACTACAAGTATGAACTGTTGTTTTCATTGTTTCTGATGTTTTTTTATAATGGTTGAGTTTATGAAATCTTCTGGTATTTTAGCTACAATATTGTGGTATGGTCTAATATGGGAGGAGGTTCATGGGGGTGACACCATGGGTTACTGTACTGGATGACACCAATCCTAGTAAATCACTATTTTGGAATACCCTTTTGGAAAAGTATCTGCATTGTAGACAAAGTTATAGCGGTAATGTGGTGCAGTGGTCTGAAGGCTGTAATAGGACTATGAGGGACCAGGTTGGAATCCCTGCTCAGCCATGACAAACCACTGGATGACATAGGGCTAATCAATTTCCCTTTGCCTCTGTGGAAGACAATGGTAAACCTCCTTTGAAGAATTTTTAACAAATAAATGCCATTATAAGTTTGTTTTATGGTTTCCATAATTTGGACATGATTTGAAGGACCACCACCACTACAATATGTCATATAAACAAAGATATGCTGATGTTTACTATCAATCATATACACTCATAGAGCTCATAACATTTAATTGAGCAATCATATTGTTTTGAAGCAAGAGGGAAATCAAAATATTAGTGCAGAGAAGGGATTTTCACTGTTTTCAAAAAAAGAAGTGTTGATACTACACTACACTAATGTTATACATTGATAAAGAAAGCTGTACCAAGCTGATTGAAAACAAGGTTTATATTATGCAATTTTTCTGTATCATTCTCAGAATTTTACAAGAAAACCAAGCAAGGTTATCTTCTTCGCTGATACTTTCCCCTCTCCATAGTCCAACCTATTTCTTATCAGAACTCTACCCCCCACCCCCAATAAATGAAAAGGTGAAATGCCTTCTGTCTGGTGGCAGTAGGAACTCCTGCTGAAAGCACCCTAATAAGCTCAAAATAATAATGGAAAAATAATTTTGGAGACATTAATTCTCCATGTGCTCACACTGGTTGGGGAACCAAAAGTGTATTTAAAAAGTTTTCTAAGGAAAACACTGGTTAGGAAAATACTTACAAAAAATTGATTTTTGAACTGGGAAATTAAAAGCATATTTTTTAAAAAGCCAAAATATTGGTTGAGGAAAACCTTAGAAAAATTACTAATTTTGGATGAAAACTCCTGGTATTTCTCAGGAATGACTGGCAACTTCAAAAGGTTTTTTAAAAAATAATTTTTCAAAGCTTTGCTTTAACCAATATTGGGTGTTGTTTTTGTTCTTCATATTTGTCTTTTTCCAGCTATGTGAGTAGTTATCCATTTATATAAGATACAAGAGTGCTGTACTAAAAATGTGAATGTCTAAACAATACAACTGACCAGCTACAGATTTAGCTCTTAATTGCTTTCCAGTATGTTAGATTAAGAAAAACGGGCCTTTTGTATTTTATTATTCAAGGAGC